CTCTCACCAGTGGATTTGCCTCTCACCAGTGGATCCATCCAATGGATTCTCCCTCTAGTGGATCCATTCACTGATCTAGTGGATCCATTCATGGCTGCAAGGATCTTCTGGATTCCGTCAGCTGTAGAGATGCTGTGCATCTTCCCCGAGGACACAGCATGGTAGGATCTTCACAGTTCTCAGAGGCACTGCATCTATTTGAGGCTTGAATAGAAGGGAGTCCGTACACAGACTCAGGAAGCATTGGGGGTTTTCTTCCATCTTTGATTGTCCTTAACTGCAAACCCAGGCATCACTTGTCCCAAGGCCACCAAGTCTATTCCATGATAAGAGCGGTGCTACTGGGACCTTATACAGGCCCTCCCCCATCTCCAGAACCTGCCTCATTTTACCCATCTGTAACATGGGAACTTCCTGAAGGTTAAGAGCATAAGAAGATGCTTCTTTCTCTTTTAATTTCCCCTTTATAATCCTATCAAGATAGACCTCGGCCAGGCTTCACGGATTCATTCCTTGATTCAATAAATAGTTGCTGAGCCAAGTGTAACACCTCACACCTGGAATCTCAGCACTTTTGGAAGCTGAGGCAGGAGGATCACAAATTCCAGCAGAGCCTGGACAACTTAGTGACTTAGTGAAATCCTGTCTCAAAATAAATAATAAAAAGGTTTGGGGGGTGTATAGCTCAGTGGGAAGATCCTGGGTTCATTCTCCACTACAGTCAATCAGTTGATCAATTAACAAAAATAAATACTGTCCAGTGTGCTTTCCAGCCTGTAGATAAAGTCAAGGGTAAGCTCTGCGTGTGATCTATGACCAAAGAATCCACAGCTTCCTTCAGAACTCCGAGAGTGTCAGCGGCCCAGAGTCAGCAAGCCCCAGCGCTTGCTGCAAGATGAGAGAACGTTCTTCCGTCTTGGGGTGTGTTAAGAGTAGCATTTTTCACTTGACTTCATTCAGCTAAGTGTCCCCAGTCCGCACTCACTCACCTGATGTTCAGACAGGGCCACAACAACGCCTTCTGACCCTCAGCTTTATGAGCCCCTGGGCCCCCCTCCTTCTGCCTCTGTTTCTCCGTCTGTAAGGAGGTATCCAGGGTGACCCCCAGGAATCGCATCCAGCACCGGGCTGACGACGACACAGTGCTTTGCGCGCACTGCAGAACTTCAGTGGAGAGCAGGGAGGGCCGAACGCGCCTGCTGCCTGGAGAGTCGGGACCTCTTTCCCGTTCCTAGGAGCCCCTGGCAGGGCGGAAGGGAGTCGAGGCCCCTGGGCGGAGCCAGCACAGGCGGTGGGAAGGGGCCAGATCCCGGGTTAGGGACCAATGGACAAGGGCTGATGTGCGCATTGACTTCCGGGTCACTGGCTCCAGGGCAGCCGGGCAGCTTTCAACCGCGAGTTCCTGCCATCTGCTCGGTGACCTCAATCCACTGCTGCCATGCACATTGCAACTGGCAGCCCCAGCAGGCAGGCTGGCACCGACCGAGGTGGAAAATGGGTCACTCGGCAGAGTCCCTGGAGTGGGGTTGGGGGCAAGCAGGGAGGGGGCGGACGCGAGAGTGATGCGGGCCAGGTCTCATCCTGCAGGGAGCGCCCAGACTCTGCCCACGACCCCAGCGAGCCACACCGCTGGAGCTGTGCGCGACACCCCCGGGGCAGGAGCACCCTGGGGGCCAAGCAGGGATTAAGCTTGCGACCCGGCCGTCCCGGGCGGTGGGCAGCCCAAGCCTCCCTGTGCAGAGGACCACAAAGGTTAGGTGGGGCCACGATCTACACCCAAGCCCCGGGGGAGTTACTGTTTAACCGGCACAGAGCCTCAGTTTAGGGTGATGAACACTCCGCAGGTGGGCGGCGGTGAGGCGTGTGAGGCCACCGGACCCGACATTTAACATGGTTAGAGTGAGAGTCCGGTGTGGCGGTGCAGCCTGGGATTCCAGCACTTGGGAGGTGGAAGCAGGAATGTCCGGAGTTCAAGGCCAGCCAGGGCAACTTAGTGAGACCCTCAAAAAAATGGTTAAAATGAATTTTATGAGCCTAAAACAGCTCTAAACAATAAAGTCAAATGAAATTTCTAACTGGTAAGTTTTACAGCACTGTGATTAATTAAGAGAGCCTTCTCAAGGGAACAGTGAAGTGTCTGCTCCCATGGGACCCAGTGCTTCCATTTTTACCTCTCTAATCAGACGAGGTCAAGTGTATCCCTAGTATGGGAAGCATCAGAGAGGAGTTACTTCCAGCACGTTTGTGCTAATGAACAGCTAGGAACAACCTATGTGTCTATGCACTGGGACACAGCTGATGAATTCTGTGTGTGTGTGTGTGTGTGTGTGTGTGTGTGTGTTTTCATTTGGTGGAATATTATACAGCAGAGAAAGTGCAATGGCTCTATGTCAATGGCTGCCCAACTCTTCGACACCAGCCTCCCTAGCGTTTTTGGATTGGTTCTTCCAAAGACAATTTTTTCACTGATGATGGAGAGGGATTTTGTTGTTGTTGCTTCTTCTTTTTATTAGCATATGTTTGTGCTATAGAATAATTACATCCCCCAGCACTACCATCATCACCTCAGGTCACCTCAGATCACCAGCCATTAGAGTCCCGGGAACAGCACGTGACCTAGATCCCGCACACGCGCAGTTCACAGGAGGGTACGCGCTCCTCTAAGAATCTACCGCTGCCTCTGATCCCTCAGCACGCGGGGTCAGGTGTGACGCAAGCAGAGGGCGCTTCCCAAACTCAGATGAAGCTGCGCTTACTAGCTTCAGTGCTGCGCTTGGGGGTCCCTGATCTATATCATAAATATGAGCCGGACATGGTGGCACACGCCTGTAATCCCAGCACTTGGGAAGCTGAGGCAGGAGTATCGTTTCGAGTTCGAGACCAACCCGGGCTGCAAAGTGAGCTCAAGGCCAGCCTGAAGTGTATAGCGAGACCCTGTCTCCAATAGACAAAAACTAATAATTATAATAATGAATAAATAAATAAGGAAGGATCTCTTAAGTTTATTGTTGGCAGGCATAGTGGCACACACCTGTAATCCTAAAACTGGGGAGGCTGAGGCAGGTGGACCACTGTGAGTTGAAGGCCAGCCTGGGCTACATAATGAGACTGTTACAAAAACAAAAATGAGGGGGAAAAAAAGGGTAAAATGGCAAATTTATGTCATACTTTTGTGTGTGTGTGTGTGTTTCTCTTTTTTTGAGACAGGGTCTCGCTCTTTTTTTGAGACAGGGTCTCAAACTCGCAACGATTCTCCTGCCTCAGCCTCCTGAGTGCTGGGATTACAGGCGTGTGCCACCACACGCCCAGCTTATGTTATACCTTTTAACCTCCATTTCTTGTGGAAAGAAGATGATGCGCCAGGTGGGATGGTGCAGGTATACAGCAACACACGCCATGTGCTGGCTGCAGCTTCTCGGGCAGGCGGCCCGGCGACACCGACACCGACACCGACACCGACACCGACGGTCGAGGGCTCAGTGCCCCGCCCGTGGCCTGACGGGAGCCGAGAGTCAGGAGGGCGCCATAAATAACACACTAACGACTGGGCTGCCAGGAACGCAGAGGCCGCACCGCTGGGCCCCTGAATGAGCCCCGAAACCGGATCCCGGGAGTCGCGCACCGGGAAGGTGCCCGGAAACCGGACCCAGGAGCAGGCGCGGCCCAGGGCTACTCCACGCAGACGCCCGCACCAGCCGCTGGCTGGGGCCGAGGGGAACCGGGGACACCTGGCCCGAGGCGGCACCCTGCCCCGCGTGACCCTCAGGCGTGCCCCGGCCCGGGCCACGGCTTTCAGCCTAATCAGAGTCCTGGCCCCTCTGCGGCTGGTGAGGCTGCACTTGCGCTTCCAGCCCTGGGTGCCCGGCCAGGAAGGAAAAACAGAGCCTGAGCACAGCCCAGTCCTCGCCAGGCCTCCTCGGAGACCAGTCCTGTGTCTTTCTCCAGAGACCACAGCCTGACCCAGCTCTGCCTCCCCAGCAGGGGAACAGAGGCCCCCGAGGGGCCCTCCCCACCTGACTCAAATACTAAGGTCTGCGGGGCACACTCGGACCTGCTGAGGTGGAGGGGACACTCCTAGGACCCAAAACCCACAAGCCCAGCCTGGTGACGCACACTGGGCAGTCCTGCACTCGGGAGGCTGAGGCAGGAGGGTGGATCACTGCAAGTTCAAGGCCAGCCTGTCTCAAAAAAACTGTCTCAAAAAAACAATACCTAATTAATTAAATGGCTAACTTTGTGGTAAATGAACCCCCACCCCAATGAGCGAAAAACAATTCCAGGGCTCCAAATGCATCACTAAGTCTCCCTGTTCCTACAGACTCAGATGAAGCACCGAAAACCACATCCCTCTTTTCTTTCCTAGCTGGGGAAATGAAAGCCCAGAGAGGAAACACAAATGCCCCCTACTCACAGACACAGAGCTAGCGCTATCCCGTGCTCTTTGGACCTCTCTTGATGACACTTCTCAGGCCTTCTCACACTCCCACAAACATCTGTCCCCTGCCCTGCCAAGCGCTCTCCTTTTTTCGTTTTTGTTCTTTTGAAAGAGGGTCTCACAGTGTCACTCAGGCTGGCCTGGAGCTCACAGAGATCCTCCTGCCTCAGCCTCTTGATGGGAGGAATTGCATATGTGCGGTACTACGCATGCATGGCAAGATCCCTCCTGGACCTGCTTTCCTGTACATAGATTTAGAGGCCCCAACAAGACATGGTCTCTATGCTATGTTATATGGTCATACCTGGATGAGTACCCGTTCTTACCCACATAGTTACTGAGCTCTAACATGTACTAGGGAAAAACACAATCAGCAAACCAAGCTTTCCGCAGCAGAGACTCAAGGCTGTGCCTAACACGGGTTCCCTTTTTAAAATTTTGCATTAATACTTGTTTGCCCCTGGGGGAGGCGGTGTCTCAAATTGTCCACACAAAAGCTAGAGGTGTTTTCTGCCTCTTTTCCTGCCGGGGGAAGCGCACCCACGCTAGCCGTGACACAGACTTTTTAAGGGAGTCGGTTTAGAGGAAACGCAGAGCGAATAATCCCGCAGGTCGTGCAGCCACGGGGAAGGAACGGGACTCTCGGAGGGTCAGGGCTCGCTGAGTGGCAGCTGTGACATTCTGTGGCCCCATGACAAGCCCTGGGCTTCCCTGCTCCGAGCATGGCTATTTAGGGGCCAAGCCAGGCTTGGCGGCCGGACAGGAGGACCCCGGAGGCCCCTGCCTGGGACACAGAGAGGCTTAGACTGCGGCCCCGCCCAACTGCAGACCACACAGTGGCCTGGCACTGGCCCCCTCTCCTTGCCTGGGCACTCTGGCCTCCCAGAATTCCTGCAGCTGCACGTGTGCCCGCCTCCAGAGCCCCACCCGCGCCCTCGGACCAGCGACTTGGAGGAAAGACGTGGGTGAGACCTCAACATGTCCACACTGACGCCACGCCCCAAAAAAGTCCTTCACTCGAGCTGAGGGTGCACCTCGCTGATGGTGGAATTTGAGGCTTCATAACAGGTGCAAGGGGAAACATTTTTGGGCCGTGTGGGACCTGCCAATATCTTTCAGGCACACCCCGAGGCAGCTGGCGAGACCCACATTTGGACACGCAGGGGGTGCTTTTCCTGAGCAAATTCACCCCCGGGGCGGGGAGCTCAGCTCAGAGCACTGGCTCCAAGGGCCACCAAGCACCTGAGGAACCAGCAGGAACACAGACTCAGGAGCCAGAGAGAGGTGAAGTTCAGTCCAGCTGCCCTGTTCTTGCGCTCCAGGACTGGCTGAGAAACCCCAGCCGGCAGAGCTTCCGCTTGGACGCGACCCTGAAATCAGGCGGGCAGCGCATAGTCGGGGCTGGGCCAAGGACGGTGATCTTTTTGTTTTACTTTTCTGCAGTGCTGAGGATTGAACTCACAGAAGCTCCACCACTGAGCTACACCTCCAGCTCTTTTTATTTTTTTACTCAGAGACAGAGTCACCAAATTGCCCAGGCTGGCCTTGAGTTTATGATCCTCCGGCCACAGCCTCTTGAGTAGCTTGGATTAGAGGCGTGTGCCACACCACACCCAGCAGTAACTAACATCTCAAGGAAAA